GTACTGGGGATCAAACTTGGGACCTTGCACTTGCGAGGCAGGCGGCAACACCACTGAGCTGAATCCCTGGACCCTACTAATTGGTCATATTTAAAACATTTGCAATAACTTTGTACTGCCTCTAAGAACTATTATGCTCAATTCCCAGATGAACTTTGTATGCTGTCAAATGCCTAGATAAGAGATTGTTGATATTGTATAAAGTACTTTTTAAAATGGTAAACTGGAGAATTTTCTTTGTTTTTTTTTCCTGTAAGAGAAAATACATTGGAATCTAAATCATATTTTATCTGTTAAGAATGTTTTTATGGTTTCTCAAACAAGATTTTAAAAAATTATTATTGGGCTAACCTTGGATATGTTCTTTTCCTCTTTATGTGGAATCAGAAGTGATGATAAAATTTCTCTCTATTTTTTTAAAACTATTTATAAACTAGTGTCATAATACTCCAGTACATCAAAATAATAAATAGTCATATATACTCCGAAATACAAATTTCAGATAATTGGGATCCATATATAGATATAGATATAGATATATCTCAAGGTATATATATACATATCTAACAGGAACTATCTGTAAGGTCTCTGTAGCTTTGCTTCTTATTACTTGATTGCTGTTATAGAAGTCTATCAAAACTATGTAATTGTTCTATCCCTCAAATACAAATTTGGTTTAGTATGTTGCTTGTAACGTTTTTTTTCCTTATATAAAGGATATTTATGCCAGGTGTGGTGGCGCACGTCTGTAATCCCAGCACTCAGGAGGCATAGGCAGGGGGGTCGCTGTGAGTTCAAGGCTGGCCTGGGCTACATAGTGAGTTCAAGGCCAGCCTGCACTAAAAGCAAGACCCTGTCTCAAAAAGCCAAAAAAGAAACAAAGATATTTATGTTTAGCTGAAAATAAAGTTTTTTGTTACATTTACAGAAATTACAGTTTAAAGGCAACTGATGGAGGTAGTTGCATTACTCTTTAAGCAATTGTGACTTCATTAATTTTGAATTTGTACTGTCTAGAAATGATGTTCCATATTCAGATGAAGATGAGTGTTGCCCTTCAAAGTAGTAATCTTGTGAGGCTGTGGTTTTTCTCCTAAAGCAGCATTGCCGTTACTAAAAGCTTGGCTAAAATTTATCTTTGAGAATAACCATTGTAAAGTTACTCATGAGAATTAGCCTCATCCTGGTCTCACATTGATTTTGACCAGAGTCTCAAATTGATTATGGATCTGTGTGCTTTCTTCAGACGAGGCTGAAAATATTTTGTGGCTGTTTCAGTAGATGAAATTTCCTCCATGGCAAAATGTTTTTAAAAGTTAACAATTACAGGCCGGGGATTTAGCTCAGTGGTTCTGCTGCTTGCCTTGCAAGGACAAGGTCCAGAGTTCGATCCCTGGTACCAAAAAAAAAAAAGTTAACAATTACAGGGAAAGATTTAAAAAAATCATCCTGAGCACATAAGTGAAAGAAGTGTATAGAAGCCTTTTTCAGGAGAAACCTTGTCTGAATGTAAAACTTCTGGGTTTTGTTGTTTTTTTAAGGTTGCACGTTACTGAACCAACCTGCTACCGCAGAGTGTAGAAACAGCAAAATCACCCCCGACACCATGTCCAGCTGTCCAAACAGTGGTGACGTTTTCAGCTTGATGTGGTAAGATGATGACCTTGGTACAGTGTAAATACTTGTGCCATTCCAGGCACAGTTTCTTATGGGCCCCACAAGGTTGTCCAGAATCTCTTGGAGTTGTACCTAATGTTCTTACCAGTTTGTATCTAAATCTACTGGGGGAGTGGAACAGTTTCACTTTTTTCTTTTTGGTGCTGGGGATTGAACCCATTCTGAGTACATACTCTGCCACTAAGCTACACCTTATATTAGCTTTCCCATTGCTGGGACAAAATACTTGATACCCACAACTCAAAGGAGGGGAGGTTAGGGGATTCAGTCCATTTGTCAGTTGTCTCCAAAGTAGAAACAGCATGGTGGAAGGTCCTGATGGAGGAATGCTACTCAATCCATGACAGCCAGGAAGCAGAGAGGGGAAGAGCTAGAGACTAGATACAGTGGTGGCGAACCTATGGCATGTGGCAGCGGGCTGTTATTGAAAGCTCTAAAAGGTTCACTATCACTGGACTAGAATATAGTACATATCAAGCCATACCCCTAGTGCCCAGGATCCAGTCATCTTCCCACAGCCCCACCTCTAAACACATGAGACTTGGGGGACATTCTAGATCTAAGTCTTAATACACCCAAACCCAAGAATTTCTTAAATTTCAGTAATAGAAGTGGGGAGTATTAACTGTCATTATTTAAATACCAGTAGCTTTTGATCTTTAATTCTGCATTTTATAGTTACAAGTTCAGAGACATAATTGCCTTGTCTCATTATTACAGTTTTTATTGTTGGGTGTTTTTTCATTTTGTCTTTACAATGATGAAGTGAATTTCATATATGATTTCTTATGTGTATCCACGAGTTTTCTTCAAAATGTATACCTGAAAGCAAAGTTTTTTTTTTTAAGGTATATGCTTGATCAGCTTTATGAGTTTTATAAGATAAGGTGGAGTTGTTTTCCATAATGGCATTGCCAATTCACAATATGACTTCTCATTCAGTTGGTATTGTAAGGCCTAATTCTTGCCAATATAGTAGGTGTTAAATGATAGTATGACTTTATTTTGCATTTTCCTGATTGTTGAACGTATTTTCATGTTTAGTCATTCCTATTTCTCCTGTGAAATACATTTTGGTGGGGGGAGTGGTGGGACTTGATCTCAGAACCTTGAGCATGCAAGGCAAGTGCACCACCACTGAACTGCATCCCCAGCACCCTGAGGGTTACTTCTTGGCATTTGTTTATTTTTCCCTTATTTACTTAGGGCTTGTTGACAGCATTCAGGATGCTAATCATCTTGTCCTTTGTTGTTTGTGCACATACCTTGTTTCTTTCTGGCTTATCCTTTCACTTTGGTATATATATTATATATATATGCAAAAGTTAGTATTTCTAAATGTCTTTTTCTGTCTTAAGAAATTTTGTTCTATTCTTTATTATGTTCACAACAGGGCCATAAAGGGGTGGGGATTTAGCTCAGTGGCACTGCACCTTCCTCGCAAGTGCAAGGTCCTGAGTTCGAGCCCTGGTACTGAAAAAAACAACACCAGGGCCATAATTCATATGTCTTGCTGCCAGGGAACTTGAACAGTAATTGTCCCATGCATGACTATACCCTTGTACCAACAGTGGTACAAGCTGCCCCATGGGACAATCATGTATGTTCTACTCGTGGTTCAAGCTAGCAGAAGCGTATCAAGCCACCTGCTAATTCTTTCCTTCCTGTAGAATCTCTTTTTCTTCTCTCTGTTCTAACATGTAGTTTCAGTACTTATGCCTAAATACCGCATTCTGTGTATTTGTTCTACTAGTATACATTGAGATTCTATTTCTGATATATCTTTTCCTGAAAATTTCAGCCAAGGATTCTGAATATTCTATTTTATCTTGATATTTTAAACTGTTTTATGGTTTACTAATTTTACCTTTAGCTTGGTACAATGAATTTTCTATTTCAGTTATCATGTTCATAATTTCCAAAAGTCCTATTTTATTCTCTTATATGTGCTTGGTCATTTTTAATGAATTTTTCTTGGTTTCTTTTTCTTTGGATATTTCACACATAGTTATATTTATATCCTATAGTCAATAATTCCAGTATCTAAAGTCTTTGAGAGTCTAAATCTGTCTGTCTCTGCTGAACTAAGTACATGTCATTCTTGTGTTTGGTATTTTTGTTGCATAGACATATACTTAATATAGAGGTTCTAATTGGGAATGTCCTCAGTCAGAAGAATTTTGCATTTGCTTCTGAGGCCAGGGAACAAGACTGATAGTTCACTCTCTTGCAGGAGTCCAGAGCTTTGTTTTCTAGTAGTAGTGTTGGCCAAGGCCTTTGCCCTTAGAGTAACCTTGGCTTTCTTGTTGGCTTCCCACTCTGGTTTGGGTACCAGCTCAAATATGGACACTCGGAGATGGCTTTTCTGAGAGCCTGGCAAGCACTTAAAAGTATGTTGTTTATCTTTCATCACTAACAGAAGCCAAAGGAAAAGAGTTTTGTCTTAACTAATAATTTACTTATGTGTTGATATGTTTATTTTTTTTGCTAGTTATGGTCATTTGGATTGGTGCCATTTTGTAGTTATTGTGTGTGATACTAATAGTATTCATGAACATTCTTTTTAAAAAAATTTTTTTTGGTACCAGGGATCAAACTCAGGACCTTGTGCTTGCAAGGCAGGTGGCGGAACCACTGAGCTAAATCCCTGGGCCCTCATAAACATTCTTAATGTGAACATGTTTTCAGTTATCTTGGTTCATGCAAGAGGAATTGCTGGCTTTTATGGTAATTTGGCTTTAACTTTTTAAGGAAACTGCCAAATTATTATACAAAGTGGTTATACTGTATTATATTTCCACCAGAAAAATATTTTCCAGTTTCTCTTCATTCCCTCCAACATTTGGCATTGTCTTTTTAAAAAATTATATCCATTCTACTGGTGTGAGATGTCAGTGTGGTTAAATCTATGTATACAGTACTTTCAAGCAGTATCTTTTTGCTAAGGGAAATGGTTGCCCTCTCGTGGACAATTCTACGCATTACACTTGTGAAAGGGGCACTAATGAGAAGCCTAGAGTTGAAGACGGGCTTGTTAAAATTTACATTCATTTCATGTTTTGCTTGCATTTAGCACATCAAGCACAACATGAGTCCAGTTTGAAAATGTTTATTTCATTACCACTATTAATACCCCTCAGGAGGTGGCTGGTTTGTTGTAGCTTTTACTTAATCTCAGGAGGTGCATTGCAATCAAAACTTGAGTATCTGTGCTCAGAC